TGGCAGCAGTTGTGCTTCAGACTCTGCTCTTGCATGGTTATATAGGCGTTGCTATGTGAAAAAAAAGTATATATTTTTGTGTGTGATCTTATTTTTATTTCTTTTGTTGGATCCCATTTCCTAATGGGGTGAGGGTGTAGTTTATTCCCAGATGTGTTAGCACCTCACAGGGAAGTAGACAAGAAACTTGACCTCAGTTGTTAATCTTCCTTAGAAATATTCTAAAGACACAGGTGAAAGCCACTCTCTTGCTTGTATAACCTTCTTAGTCAGAGCCCATGTGTTACAACCTGGAGGAAATGATGCTTGTGGATGACTAACAGAACATGTTCCTGCTGTTAATTTGGGTGCCATTCCAGAAATTTAATTCGTAAGCTTTCCTTTTCATTTTGTTAACACATTAACTTACTAATTCCAGTCTTTGCGGTTGATCCCCACTAAGGAACTTAATGAAGAGATAAATTTTATATTAAACAGAGGTGTTTGTTCTCCCTGCTTGTGATGAGCAGGGAGAAGCAGAGAACATAGGTGTGTTAGATTAGCAGAAACTTGATTTGTGGATAGGCTATTCACTTTAATGTAGCTTCCTGCTGCAAACATTGTTTTACTCCAGTGTCTCTGAATGAGTGTGTGATTTATCAAGAGCAAGGCTATAAAGTACTAACTGGGAATTATTTCTTCCTTCCAAGAAGAAGTGAATAACTTTTGGTCATTTGACACTTAAAACTGACCATGAAGTTATGATCTGATTGGCAACAGGAAAGCTAGGAAAATTATTGAAGAAAAGGTAGCTTACAGTTTATAGCCTCTTCTTGATGCTTGTTTAATGTTTGCCTGTTAGCTTGTCCTTTATAGTGAAGGATGCGTTGTATAGCCCCAACCCAATTAATGCTTATTTATTTATAGGAAAGGTGAAATCCTGGAGCTGTAAGCCAGGCTGCATGTGTGACTGGCGATGCTGTGTGAAAGATGCACTGTGAAGCAGTGCTCTGGTGGTTTATTCCAGCAGAAGCATTCTGTAAGCACTTAACTGCAGGAGCCCAGAGTATCTGTAGTAAAAAAAAAGTCCAATTCTCAACGCCGGGTTAAGGATCTGACCAGGGATCCATGTGGGTGCTCTGGGAAATGCCTTCTTCAAGCACTTTGCTCTGTAGGCTGTCTAGCAGTGGGTACAATCTCCTCTCTGCCCTTGTGTGTTGTATGATTTGGTGCTTTCGTTGTTGCTGGGTGTGATTCTAGCTGTGGCCCTGCAGTGAAACGATGGGCGTCTTCTCTGTTGAGCTTCTCTCTGTGGTGTCAAAATAGTTTCATATCCACACACAGATTTCTGGATTTCCACAGTAAGGCACATGTAACTTAGAATTCATAGAATCATAGAATGGTTTGAGTCGGAGAGTTGATGAGTTTGCACTGTGTATGTATTTGCAAAACTGCTACATCTAAAGCTCCAAGGGTGAGGAAGCTCATTGTTACTGTGTCTGCTCCCTCTGGTGCTCTGATTTCAGCTGTGCCACCAACGAAAGTTGAAGCCTTTTAAGCTGACTGTTCTTCACAGTTTTCATATTAAGATGGACAAACAGGTTAAATTTCAGGTTATTTCCTAGCAGGAACCAAACCAAGCAGATGTGTCACTAACGGCTTGGTTTTGTTTAATTTCAGTTTGTCTGAAAAAGTTGAACCAGATCCGTATAGTTGCTGTGAGTGTTTGAAGGTTGAAGTTTGTTTTAGAAACCTTTGTGCTAAGTGGTAGGCTTGAGAAACTTTCAATTATCTGAAATGGAATTACAAGGTTGCCTCTTGAGCCAAGACTTTGTGTTCTAGCAAGG